TAATATTATAAAGTATAAGGGTTGAATTTTAACTTTTAAAACTCTAGGGTTCGGAATTAAAGTTTCATTGATGAGACTCTACAAATTCCAAAACTTGAGGGAAAGTTTTGAAACTTGTCAAAACTCTTCACATTCATAACTTATGAGCTTAATTGAATTTTAATGTAAGAGACCTTTCATTTTCCATAACTTGAGGACAAGTTATGGAGGTCATTAAAATGCATTCAGATCATTTTTCTAACAACTAAATTATCACATAATTCATGATCTAACTAAACTCATAGTCAAGATAATTTCTAAGCAATTTTGTTTATCATATAAAAACAATAATTAGTTTAAAACTTTGACAATTATCTTGTGTTTGGATGAGTACAAGCACTACCAATATCATAAAAACATTTCCTATGATCCAAAACAGTTTGTGGTAGTGTTTCTAATCCAAACCAGGCCAAGAAACTCGAAATTCTGCAAACAGGGCCTTCAACTCGTCGAGTACATGAACTGACTCGCAGAGTTGCCCTGTTTACTGAGTGGACTCGTCGAGTCTATTCATGTACTCGGCGAGTTCACCAGTCAGTGGCCAAAATTTCGACTTTTTCAGCTTTGAAAAACTAGTAAGCATCAAATATAATAGAAAACAATCATAGGCTCTGATACCACAGTTGGGTTTTGAGCACTATAACACGCCTGTGGTGCACATGCAACCCTAAATGCTTTGGATCTATGTTTTCTCTAATTATACATGCATTTTCTTTTTCCAAAGCATCCTCCCTAACTAGCATACAATTGAAGTTATATAATATAAAACTTAGTTTGGATGCTTACCTCTTGAGTAGAGTAGAGTTCTTGACCTTTGAAAGCTTGAGCACCTCAAGTGTGATGCCTCTATTGGTTTACAAACACCAAAATGCAAGAGGAAGTTTTAGGAGAATAAGATTCTTGACTCCAAAGAGTGTGTAGCCGATTTTAGCTTATAGGGGCACTATTTATAATGTGGCAAACACTAGGGTTACACTTTGTAAACCCTAATGCTCCATGACTTTTCACATTCTTATGCTCCGTAGGTTAACCTCCATGGACTATCCATGGATTATCTCATTGTTTTAGCCCAACCATATAGTCATGGATCATTAGCCCACATTACAAGAATCATTGATTTACATAATCAATCCCCATATATTTAATTAGTCTCTTTTGATCATAAAATTAATTCCAAATTAATTTTTGATCAATACTAATTAAATAATATAATATATTATACTTGTAATATATTAATAAATCACAAATAACCTTATTCTCAAAAATCTTTTCCTATCAAATTGCACTGGTGAAGGCAACCCAAAAAGGGACCATGCTACAAGCGGGTCAAGTACATACCAGTTATAGTTATGAGCTTAAACACCAAATCCAACAAATACTAGATAAAGTTGATAGCTTTCAGAATTTGGGAGCTAGAGGAGTCCAGATTTAAGACCATATATTCTGGACACGTTCAATTCCGAGAATGACCCCATTTTCCCCAAAAATGACCATATTCATGCATTAGAGAAGATCTAAGAAATGGAAAGTCAAGGTAAACACTTTTTACCTTCAAATGAATGCCAAAATGAAGTGGGTGTTGGATCTACAGGCTCCTTTTCGTTCCAAGCTTCTAGGTCTTCAAATCTCTTCAAGAAATGCACCAAAACACACTCTTTTAGCCTCACACACTCAAAATGGAGAGTTAGCTTGCTAGGGTTTGTTTCTGGACGATAGGCTGGTAAGGGAGGCTGGGGAGAGGAGGTAAGGTTCTTTAAATAGGGGGCAAACCCTAAAAATTAGGGTTTCCATGCACAACCTCTAGTCGTCGGGTCGGGGTCCTCCGACTCGTCGAGTATGAGTCAAAAACCACGCGGGATGACTAGGTTCGACACGACAAGTTGGGGCCTCCAACTCGTCGAGTTCCTTCAATAAAATGAATAAAAGCTTTTAAAATATACCTGGGAGTCGGGGTGTTACAGTTTTTTTATGTATGGTGGTCGGTTCCATTCGATGTTTAACTAAGACAATTATTCAATTTCTTTAGCTTTTTCCTAACAGGTTCACCATATACTAAACGGAGGTTGTAAGGAAATCAGAGTTTGAGTAGACAACTTCATTGGTAAAATGGCTTTCATGAAAGGTTGTTGACAAGATACTTCTTGTTTATGCGAGGTATAGTGTTGGGAACTTACCAAAATATAGTATAAAAGTAGCAATTGAAAGATTCATTAAAATAGTATAAAAGTAGCAATTGAAAGATTCATTAGAGCTTAAAAGCATCAAATGGAAACCACTGTTTTTATTATTTCAATTCTTAAGACGTCAATAAAAAGAGGAATTTCTCTCACAAAATTGGTGTCCTTGGTGCTATTCACATGATTGATTTTAATTAAAATTTTATTGAATGACAATAAAAAATAAAGAAGGGATTTTTTTCCAACTTTAGTAATTGTGGTTTTATTCGGGTAGGAATTCATTTAAATTTTTAATTTTGACTTACTTTAGCTATCAAAAGTTTTTTTTCTTGCATTGGCTCTCAAATTTGATTACTATGCAAGATTTAAATTGTTTAAACACTTGAATCATAACCTTGCCTCCGATGACGTCCAAAGAAATCCAAGATCCACTGAAGAAAACTATGGCTGCTTCGCTTCAAACTCTTATCAAACAACAAGAAACTATCAAGAACAACCTCACAATCGACTATCAAAATCTATTACAACAACTGGAAATAAATGAACAAACTACCACACGCGAATTGCCATTCACCTTTCAGTCACTATCACAACTACTTCTGTCGAATGATGCAATAACGCAATGCTATGCAAGTTAGCTTACAAATCTGCCATTTTTTTTTGCTTGATTCCCTATCTTTCCATAGATTTGTAAGAGTTTGAAATTAGTATCGAACCCGCATCGGTGGCACGGGGGATTTCTACTAGTTAATATTAAGCTATCATTATATTATATACAAATTTTTGCTTAATTAGTTTCTTTAAGGTTATAAGACCTATGTATATCTTTGTCTGGGAAAAAACACAGCAATAAAATTGTCATTTTTCCGGAAATTCTTTTTTGTTAAATTCTAATAAAAACTATACATTTATAAAATCTTGAACAAAATATCCTAAATTTTCGTCAAAATGATTACATATTTTTGTAAAAAAAAATAATAAAATCATATCCTAGTAATTAATTATAAAACAATTATATAACAATTATGATCAAGAGTTAACAGTCCAACATGCAGGGCACCTGATCAAACCATTCATATTGCACACTGTACAACACCAAAAGCCACCTTTCTTCTTATAGCACTTCCGGCTTCCATTGCACTCATTGCAGATAATAAACCTAAAATCCCCACAACCCTCGCAGACGCGACGTGGCACCGCCGGCAACCGCTCCACCAGTTTCTTCAACTCACCGGTTTCACAAAGCTCCCTTACATCCTCCGCGTCCCCGAGGTAACTCCCGCCCAGAAAAACGCTAGGAAGAGCAACTTTGTTCTTTTGAATCACCTCCCCTCCTTGCGCCATTATCTTCTGTAACTCCTCTTTGAATGAAGAATCCATCGACAGATCTCGCACATCGACCGCCACCCGGAATCCTTGTAAGATTGAACGAACTGTCCGGCAAGCTTCGAAGGTAGGTCGCACCACACGGAGGCTCGTCGTGTATACAACTATTTTCTTCTCGGCGCCGGGGATTGTTATTGATGTCTCTGATTTGTACATCGGCGAGGCATTTTGTAATTCCGGTGGAGATTTTTCAGAGACGGGTTTGAGTCGAACCGTCGCCAATGATTTAGTTAATTGGTTAGCGAGGCGGACACGGTGGAAGACGCAATGCCGGGTATTTTGAATTGGAGAAGGGGGTTGTTTTTGCTTTTGGAATGGGTGTTGATGATCGTTGTTCAAATCATTGGTGGTAGAAACATGCATATCATCATCGATTAAGAGGTCCTCGATGTTCTTGAAGGAATGTCGATTGAAACTTGAGGTGTGATTTCTACGGCTTGGGCTTGATGGGCTACTATTGAATGAATTCTTGCGGGATAGCCACATTCCTTTAAATGGGAAGAAAATGGAGGATTAATGGTGGGATCGATGTTGAATTAGGGTTGATGATGATGGAATGGTAGAGGCATCGATCGGTGAGGTCTGTTTTCCGGGAAAGAGAAGTTTTTGGTGGTAAAGTTCGTTGAGAAGAGGATAATTTGTTTTGTTGTGTGCTTGGATTAACGAGAGGTTATTGTTTAGTGGTCATGGTCAATTTTGGTGGTCAAAACAAATATGAGTTCAAATCGTCTCCTCTATTGCATTATGGTTATAAAAAGGAGGAATATAAAGGAAAAACCATTACATTCCTCTTGATTGTTTGTGTGCTCAAGGCTATTGAATGCATAGTTACCCTTTATAGATAAGAAAATTAAACCACATAAATATAAAGTTGTAGAAAAATGTAATATATATCTATACCACTATATAAACCATTCATAATTGTGGGCCCTTTCATTTTAAGACATTTATCTTAAAATTCAAGGAGACAGAATCTGGACCATCAAATCTATATTGGACGGTGTGGATTTGACTGCTTGTGATCCATGTGAAAGACTTTTAACCAATGAGAATAAAGAGTTTATTATATACTCTAACACACTCACACACACACACAAATAAAAGCAACACATAAAGCGTTGCCCTAATTTACTCCATTCCCGCCGCTACAGAAATTTCGAACGATTTTCCCCAATCCGCCTCCTTCTCTTAGCAACTATTGAACCCTCTGAAATCTACGCCGTTGCCACCATCTACGATGCCACTCCTGGATCTGGAGTTTTGCATCTTATTAACAGGAGTAAATCTCAAGCAGTCAACACCCTAAACACATGTTCTCCATCAGCCACCACTTTCGAAGTCTTCTAGCCACCAGATCTAGGTTAGAACAAAGTTTATATCGACTCTCTACCCTATATTCTAATCTTATTTAATAATTGATTTTTTTTCGTTGCTCAATACCATGTCAGATTTGTATAATTGTTGTGTGTTTCTTTTTATTGATTTCTAACTATTGGGATATTTCAGGGTAAAAAAACTCTCAGCCAAGCGCATCTTTTTATGATTTTATAGGAAAAAATCTCAGGACCTCTCTTCTACTCTTTCCCATCTGTAATATTGTTCTTATTCATGCAGAATCTCAGGATCTGAGTTCGTTCACTTTACATCAATGTTTATTTTTCGGTTATCTACCTTGAATCTGTGACAATATTTTGTATTTTATCAGAGGGAATGTTATGTAGGGGATTGTTTAACCTCAAGAAACATGAAAGTCGATTCCTCATTCTTAAGGTAAACAAATACTTGAATGTAATTGGTTGATCCTTTTATAATAAATTATGTTATTCTTATGATTATTTTTTCTTGAAAACCAGGTTCAGATCCGACCTTTGCGACAGTGACAGTAAATGAATCAGCAGAGTTTAGTTAAGATTTCATTTGGATATATATTTGTATTTTGTGTTCTTTACATGCTTTTCTGGTTAAATTTCTGATGATAATTTCTCTCTATACATTATATGTACACTTAACTATAAATGAATGATGGTTTATGTTGATGCAGATCTCAAATTGTAACACCGTAATTTTTCAAACAATTTTTCACATTTTTAAAAGCATACTTTCATTCATAAATATTATAA